ACAATTCAAATAAACAATTAATTTAAAAAAAAAACAAGTCTTAAACATTTTTTTAATTTTATTTTAAATGATATTTACAACTGTATACAAAAATACATCTGATAAATTCGCACATTGGTATAAAGACATGGAACACATGTTGAGAATCTACTCATTGGTAGCACTCTAATAATATGTCTATATTAGAAGATCACGTGGCCATCTTCTTTTCAGACTCCTCAGAGGGTTATCAGGAATCGAATAGGAAGCAAGGTTAGAGACAAGAGGGTTGGGATGGTTATGAAGTTTATTATGGAAGGACAGATATCTGGATTGGGCCAAATCTGATACATAAGGAACATTAAGGTCATTATGGATAATTTTATTTGTAACAAAGTAAGGAGCATTGAGGATTTTACGAAGGATTTTGGATTGCAAGGACTGTATGCGAGAGGAATTTGAAGGCTTGGTGGAGCCCCATAGCTCAACCCCTGTCTTAAAAATATATTGTAAAACTGTATATAAAAATTTTAAATAAATATATACGTATAAAGGGGTCTTAATGTCGATATACTTTAAAAAAGAAATCCGAAATTTGTTATTAGTGAGTTGAACAATAAAAAGTTTATATTTAACAATATTAATGTAATTAGAACAATGGTACATCTACTATTATAATTTATATATATTCAACTATTGGCATATGGCACAGGTCAGCTATTTCAGGTAAATACTCAAGGTTGGGCAGTTCAACATTTAAGTAAAATACTCATATTCGGGCCAGTTTAATATCTGAGTACCGTAATTAGAATCGGGAGGTCAATAGTTGAGTATAATACACGGGACTCAGTTCTCACTTTGACATTTGCCCATCTCTGCATGTGTACTCGAGTCTTTTTCATAGCTCAGAGGACATCAAAGACCAATTTCAATTATGTTTACTAAAATATGGCGGAATGAATGTGCATATTTCATTGTTTTTATTATAATTAAACATTAATAACAAGCACTAATTGAAACAAACCAACACCACAGAATTGAAAAAAAATAAAAAAAATATCAATTTTAAATCTTTCTAAATGAAATTAGAGGATTATAAACTATAATTTATTTTTATTTTATCTCATGTCCACCAAAAAGCACTGAATTTTAGCTTGGGAAATAGCCATTAGTAACAAGCTAATCTTACATGATATACTGACAACGAGAATGGTGGGAACACAAATCATTCTAATGACAGTAAAGACAGAACTCGGGCCATAAATTCTGTTTCCGTCAGCGATCTTTACATAATAAACAACAAATCATAATCTCTTATAATTCGTAAAATGGTATTATTTGGCTCACGTAAAAAGCAATAAATGTGAATTCGAATTCTTCCAGAAAGTTTTTAATTTGTTGCATTTCCATTTTGAATTCTTAAATACCTATATTTAAAATAGTTATTTAAACATATTTAAATTCCAAATATTATAAAAGCGATCAAATCTTTCACAATTTTTAAAAAATAATCTCAATTTTGAGATTACGCCACTACGGTCTATTTCTATGTTTTGGAACTGATATCCATTCTAGGTTTTGAAAATGATATCCATTTTGAGATTACGCAACTGCGTTTTACTTATTTGTGTTTTTCGGATTTATTTTATATAAGGGTCTTTTTACATGATTTCGGAGCCGCAGTTTTAGAAAATTATATCCATTTTATGATTGCGCTGCTGCGTTTCGATGTATTCGTGTTTTTCGGATATTAATTTAATACAGGTAGATCATCTTGTTTATTAGAAAATACGGTAATTATCTGATAATTATTTGACAATGACACATTCGTGATTTCGTATATGCTGATAAAAAAAAACAAAAAAACAATTTTATCTTTAAAATGTAAAATGTTTTGCAGGGATTCATAAACACTATTTTATCTAGAATAAAATGACCGTTTAAGGCTTTTACCTAATATTTGTTGAATTTTTTCTATTCTTTTTCCAGCATTTTTGTACGTAACTCAGTGACATCGTTTTAAAATAGAAATCATTTCCAAAATCTACAGCTCCGAAAATATAATTATACCCTTATAATGAAAAAATCCAAAAAGTTTATATAAGTCGAAACGCAGAGTCGTAATCATGAAATGGCCACCATTTACGAAAACTACGGCCTAGAAAACCTATAAATAGACATACAAATATATAAATAGACAAAGATTTGAAAAAAATCCGAAAAACTCAAATAAGTCAGAATGCAGTGGCGTATTCTTAAAAATGGAAATCATTTAGAAAATCTACAGATCTGAAAATATAATTGTAAACTTATATGGAAAAAATCCAAAAAGCTTAAATAAGTCGAAACGCAGAGGTGTAATCATGAAATGGCCACCATTTACGAAAACTGCGGCTCGGAAAACATTTAAATAGACCCTCATATGAAATAAATCCTAAAAACTCAAATAAGTCAGAATGCAGAGGCGTATTCTTAAAAATGGAAATCATTTTCAAAATCTACAGCTCTGAAAATATAATTGTAACCTTAAATGGAAAAAATCCAAAAAGCTTAAAAAGTCGGAACGCACAGGCTTAATAATAAAATGGACACCATTTTCAAAAACTACGGCATTGAAAACATATAAATTGACCCTCGTATGAAAGAAATCCGAAAAAATTAAATAAGTCAAAACGTAGTGGCGTTATCATAAAATGGACACCATTTTCGAAAACTACTGCTCCGAAAACACATAGATAGACCCTTTTATGGAAGAAAACTGAAAAACTCAAATAAGTTAATATGTAATGGCGTAATATCAAAATGGAGATTATTTTTAAAAAGTCTATTCATTAAAAATACATCATTAAATTGTACATGAATATTTAAAAAAAGACGTATACGTATAACGGGATCGTAATGTGGATATCATTAAAAAAAAAAAAAAAAAACGAAATTTCTTATAAGTAGTGGGTAAAACAATAAAAAGTTTATATTAACAATATTTACATAATTAGAATAATGTCACATCTATTAATATACTTCATATATTTAACTATAGGCATATTGTACTTAAGTAATTTAGCCGTGAGTAAAGTTGCGCAGAGCAACTATTTGAGTAAAATACTAAAGGTTGGCTAGTTCAACATTTGAGTAAAATACTTACATTTGGGCAAGTTGGAATATCTGAGTACCGTAATAAGAATCGAGAGGCCTATAGTTGAGTATAAAATTCGGGGCTCTCTGACATTTGCCTGTCTCTGGACACATGCAATACCTATAAATTCAGGTCAACATTGATATTGATGAACTAACTATAATTAACTTTGATTGTAGATATGCAGTAAAATAGGAAAGATGACAGGGAGACATAGTTTGATTATCTTGACACGAATTAGATTCGGGCCATAGTAATTTGTTCTGGACAGAGGTGAAATAAGGTGTAGATCTTCTGGTGAAATAATTGCGAAATAGAAATTTTCGATCCTAGAAGTGGCTAAAGCATCAAATTCAATGATCTCAGGCTCACCAAGAAGACAGTTTGTTCGTTGCTTTAATGGTGTCTAGAAAACCTATTAAGATCGCTGTAAAGCCTATAAAAAGTTTCCGAAACGAAAATAAGGTATTGCGAAAGATTTCACACTAGATTTAATTAAACAGTTTCAAAACAGAAATTTCTTCGAGGCTTTTTTGACATAACATTATTGTTTTTTATGATAATTTGACTCTAGGTTTACTTCCAATAAATGTGTGGGGTTTTAATATTTTGATTAACCTGTGAGGTTATAGCAATGTCTATTGTTCAATTTACCGCATTTCCTGGATGTTGTCGCATGAATAAACAGATCCCCATTAGCTCTAAGTAGGAACAATAGGCTACGCTAGGGGTTTGGTCCATAAGGGGCTCCTAGCCTCAATTAATCAACGCATACCTATTAGAGTAATTACACATACACGCTCACGACGCACTAAAGACTCTTCAATGAACAATTACAACCCTCTCCAAAATCTCCAATGAATATAGTGTTTTAACTTGATTTAAAGCAAAGGATTCTTTTTCCTATACGGCAGCCATTTTTATTTAGCTAGATTATTTATTGTTAATTCACCGAGTTCCTTCAAATCATAAGCTCAGTGCATAAATCATCATTCCTGAGATCTGAAAACCTTTAAAATTTTCTTAGGTCTGCTTACAACGCACAATATTTACAAGGGAACGTTCTTCTTTTATTTTCCCAGTTAAACGTTTTGGCTTGGAAATATAACGGATGGCGAAGGATTCCTAATATTGCAACTTCATTTAAGTAATTTTATGGTACTGCGGCAAAAACAAATATTGTATCAGTAACTGATCATGTGGAGGGTCGTGATGACCGAGAGTGTAGAAGCCTATTACATTATGGTGTTTCTTGTTGTAACACTTCCGTGTCTAACAACGCCGGTTCGAATTCGGCTTGTGAAGAGATTACTTTTATTTCGTGACGGATCCAGGGAATAGAACTCGACCTTCCCACTCTGGTTAGAATAGGTTTTGTTGCACCTTTGGAATAAACCCTCCTCCTCCCCCCATCGTACGCCAGAAATGGTGGGTAGGTAATCGATTAAAAAAAAAGAACTGACCGTGTTATTACCTATTTTGACAACCATGCAATAGAGTGTTTTACTACTTCAAAGTTGCTGGATTTCCAGAATAATTCATAATAAAGCCATATTCGACGAATAATTAGTTTTAAATGAAATCATTTTTAAACCAAATTTATTAAATGTTATAATTTAAAACTCAGAATTAAGAAAAAAATACAAAACTTTAAACAATTCCAAAATAGCCAGATAATTTATCTGAATTAGGATAATATAAATCTAAAATATCCTCTACAAGTCAAGAAACTTCTTTAACAAAGTTGAAATCGATTATTTCAATTAAGATGAGATATTCATATAAATATTTGTACTTAGGTTTATGATGAACGAATAGGTTCTTAAATACTATATCTTGATTGGAAATGCCAAGAAAATAAATGTTTTTTTTTTTTTTTTAACAGGACTCTCTCTTGCATGCCATCAAAGAAGAATACGTAGAAGCTGTAGAGGTCCTGCTTGAATGGGAAGAAAGTATACACGTTCCAGGAGAACCATACGTAAATAATTACCATATTTAACTACCCTACTTTGCATTATCATAGAAATTTAAATGTAGAATAATTAATTATTATTTGTATTGTGTTGTATATTTATTATTGAATAATATTTATTTATATGTATTAACTAAATTCTAATTCACACCTTCCTTATTAGACATTTTCATATATTTTAATTATAATTGCAGTCGACAAGGATCATCCTTCTAATTATCCAGAGTTTTGTAGATTTCAAACCGAAACAATTTATTCGTTAGTTATAAAATATGAAGGTTCTTTTGGTGGTACTGTCAATTTTTAACCTCCTCGAGCCTTAATCCAGCACGTTGGAAATTGTCATTAGAAGGGGTATATTTTAAAATGAAAAATAAAAACAAAAAACTAATTTATACCTGAAATTAAATCTTCGAAACTCACTCGAGCTTAGAAAAAAAATTATTTATTAAAAATGTTTAAATGTACAGAATGAACCGAACAATTGTTAATAGCCCAATAAATGTCGGCCAAAAACAGAGCCAACATAAAAATAATTCAAAATCGGCTGTGAACGTGGAGATTGGTTGCTCATGAAATGTAGAACAATTCATAAAATGTCTCCTCATTTTACATGTTTGCCTTTATCCAAAATGGATAATCGAAGAGGGCCTCCTAGCACTTCTCGTAGTATGTTATGTTTTTCCTCAAATCGCCGTCAAAAACCATTATTCTCGAATTCCGAAATACGTATTTATAATAGGCAAGGATGATTTTTTTGCAGTCCATCGAGGTTCAAGAGATAAAAACAATAGCTGAAAATTGATTTATTTGAAGTTAAAACATCACCCTTCATAACTTTTACACTGTCAACGAATCGGAAATAACTTTTCTTATGTTGTTTGTAGCGAGGGAAATGTTCTTTAATATATTGTGAAAATGGAGGAGATATGTTATTTTTTATTGAAACGCTATCTCGAAGCTGAATTCCTTCGCGGACAATACGGGCTGGAAAGGTAGCGTAACGATTGTATAGTGAATAGTTGTGTGTCGCAGGTTATGTACACATAGCTAGTATGAGCAAAGAGGCAGTGTAAAATTGATTGTTACTTTACAGTTGCAAATTTCATTAAAAAAAAAAAAAAAAAACTTTACAGTTACGATCTTGGAAATTGTATTTAGATCTTTCAAATTTTATTTCTTTCACTCTCACTTTGTTATCACCAAAGTTATTATGATTGTTTCTACGATTTGATTTTTTTTTTTTTATTAACGAAATTTACAACTGTAATTAATAATAAATACAACAAGTAAATATGAACAAGTAATATTACATGTATAACATGAGGAGAAACTACCCATTGGTAGCACTCCAATTATATTTCTATATTAGAAGGTCCCGAGACCATCTTCTTTTTAGACTCCTCGGCAGGTTATCAGGAATAGAAGAGGAAGCAAGGTTGGAAACGAGAGGGTTCGGATGGTTCAGAAGTTTATTATGAAAGGACAGGTATCTGGATTGAGCTAAATCGGAAACATATGGTACATTAAGGTCATTATGGATGATTTTATTTGTGACAAAGTAGGGAGCATTAAGGATTTTACGAAGGATTTTGGATTGTAGGGATTGGATACGAGAGGAATTTGATGGTTTAGTAGAGCCCCAAAGCTCGATCCCGTAAGTCCAAATAGGCATTATTATAGTAATATATATAATAGAGTCTTTTGTAAATAGTTGGCAGTTTAGAGAGTTTGTCTAGTAAGTGCTGGAGTAGTCGGAAACGTCGGGCGGTTTCTAGTCGTTTCAGTCTGGTATGGGGGTTCCAAGTGAGTCGTTTGTCAAGGTGGAGTCCTAGGTATCGGATTTGGTCAACAGGGATAAGTGGGTATCGGATTTGTTCTACAGGATACTGTAGAACAGGAAGTCATAGGTTTACGACGAAGATTAAAGGTAATTTGATGGGATTTATTGGAGTTTATTTTAATTCTCCAGTTTTGACACCATTTTTCAAGACTTGTGATGTGTGATTGAAGAGTTTGGGATGCAATAGATGGATCGTTATTGACTGATAGGATACATGTGTCATCGGCATATGTGGTGATGACAGTGTTGGAATGGGTTGGGATGTCAGCTGTATAAACTGTATAAAGGAAAGGACCTAGGATACTACCTTGAGGAACACCAGCAAACTGAGAAAAAAGAGATGAAAAAGCATTGTTATGATTGACTTTGAAGAATCTGTCAGCAAGGTAGAAACGGATAATGAGGAAGTATGTAGGTGGTAGGAATTTACGGAGTTTGTACATCAGTCTGGGATGCCAGACTCTATCAAACGCCTGTTCAACGTCGAGAAAGACTCCCGTGCAGTACATTCCGCGCTCCAATGCAGAGGAGACTACATCTACCACACGATGTCATTGCTGTATAGTGGAGTGAGATGTGCGGAATCCAAATTGGTGATCTGGGATAATTTGTTTAGAGTCTAGGATAGGATACAGGCGTTTTAAGATGAGTTTTTCCAGGATTTTGCCCATAATGGGTAAGAGAGATATAGGAAGGTAAGAGGATGGGTGTTCTGGTGGCTTCGTGGGTTTATGTATCATTTTGACAATAGATAGTTTCCAAGGGTCAGGGAAATATGTGGTTCGAAGTACAGCGTTATATATATAGGTGAGGAATAGTATGGCTTTTTAGGAAGCAGTTGTAGGATCTGGGATGTGATTAGGTCAAGGCCAGGAGCTTTGCGGGAAGGTAATCTATGAATGATATTGGATATTTCTGAAGGATGAAATGCTTTAGGTGGAGGTGTCAGTTGGAGTGGGATATCCAATTCTGCTTCAATAAACTCAAGGTGGGGAGGATTAAGGATATCTGGGTGTGGATTAAATGTTTTGAAGAGGTGCTGAGCAAATGTATGTGATTTTTCTTCGTCAGATCTGGACCAGGTTTGGGTTTCAGTAATAAGTGGGTGGTTAAAATCTTTAAATTTAAGGAGCTTTTTAGTGGTCAACCATAATGATTTGTCAGTAGTAGTAAGTTTTTCTGTCATATTAAGTAAATTTTGAATTTTATATTTTTTAATTTCAGCTTTTAATTGGTTAGTTAACTTGTTGTAATATGTCTTATCTGATGGGTATCTGGTCCTGAGCCACTTCGATCTTGCTCTGCGTTTTTCCCTTAATAAGATACGAATATGCTGGGACAAGTTTGTCTGTTGGGAGTTGTTAATTTTATTGATAGAAGTATTATCGTTTATTTTGTCACTTATAGATGTAGTAAGTATTTTTTTTTTTTTTTTTTTTTTTTTTTATTGAAAAATATTACAATCTGTCTCAAGGACATTTATAATAGTGTTAACAGATCACATTCACACTCTATGTACAGTAAATAAAATAAATTATACAATAAATAAGAATAAAATAACCTAAAAATAAATAAATAAAAATAACACATACATACCTATATACAATATTTACAATTTGGGGAGGGAACTCCAAACCAGACTTGTCTCTCCAAGTGTGGAGGGAAAAGCATGGCTCCAGGAGATCCCAGCACTTCTCTCTCAACCGCGTCACTGGGGCTAAATCCAGTGGAGATTGAGTAAGAGTGCTTAAGCCACATACACTCATATCGTGAGTGGAGAATCTGGCCATTGCCAGAACTCCAATATTTACAAACTATAAAAGGTCGCGGGGCCACTGCCGTTTTAACCTCCTTGGAGGATTATATGGATGGGTGGTGCTGGATAGAGATTGTGCAAAGGGATTTGGATGATAGGTAAGGTTCTGGTGGAATTTGGAGAATTTTGATGGGATAAGGTCTAGGATAAATGGGATATTAAGGTCATGGTGTAGGGTTTTGTTGGTTACATAGAAAGGAGCATCGACTATTGTTCGAAGGACTTTGGATTGAAAGGATTGGATGCGTTTGATGTTAGAAAATTTTGCTGTTCCCCACAGTTCAAGTCCGTAAGTCCAGATAGGTTTCAATATTGTCTTGTAGATCAGTAACTTGTTTTCAATGGAAAGTTTAGATTTCCTGTTTAGTAGCCGGTATAGTTGGCCATATCGTCGGTTTAGTTCCTGTCTTTTAAGTCTAGTATGAGGGTTCCACGTTAGTCGTCTGTCTAAGAGAAAGCCAAGGTACCGGACTGTGTCTGAGAAAGGAAGCTGGATGGAATTAAAGTGTACTGGTGGACAGGAACTGCGTCGGAGCGTGAAGGTGATGTGTTGGCATTTGGATTCGTTTACTTTAATACGCCATTTATTACACCAGTGCTCAATCAGGGAGAGGTGTCTTTGAAGGTTTGAGGATGCTATATCAGGATCTGAGTCGGATGATAGAATGGCGGTGTCATCAGCAAAAGTTGCCAGGAAGGTATCGGGATGGACAGGGATATCGGCGGTAAACAGGATGTAAAGGACGGGACCCAATACGCTACCTTGAGGAACACCTGCCTCAATTGGATAGCAATGCGAAAATTCAGTACCGCAACGAACTCGGAAGGTACGATCTGAGAGGTAGGAACGGAGAACAAGGTACAAGGACTGAGGAAGATAGTTTTTCAGCTTGGAAAGAAGCCCGGCGTGCCATACCCAGTCGAAAGCTTGAGCTATGTCCAGAAATGCACCCGAGCAATATTGCTTGCTTTCCAATGCTGCGGAAATATGATCAACCACTCGGAGTCCTTGTTGGACTGTAGAGTGTTGTGAACGAAATCCGAACTGATGGGAAGGAAGATTTTGGGATTCTATAAAGGGTAGGATGCGTTTCAGGAGGATCTTTTCAAAGATTTTTGAGAGAATCGGAAGAAGGCTAATTGGTCTGTAGGACGTTGGGGTGTTGGGAGGTTTGCCTGGTTTCGGAAACAGGATAATAGTGGAATGTTTCCACAAAAGAGGAAAGTGGGTGGTTCGTAGGATACTATTGTATATGTATGTAAGGGATATGACAGCTTTAGGAGGGAGTTAGTAAGTATTTCTATGGCTGTGTTAATGTCATGTTTCGTCTTAAGTGAAGTATTTAG